TTAGAAAGCGATACTCTTAACATGTAATTTAAAGCTTTCAGCAAGCTATATAATAACTCAATTTAGATTAACTTTTTTGATTGTTTAATTTTATATTAATAATCTTCATGCATTTCATTCACAAGAAAATAATTTATGTAGTGGTGGTAATAAACTTCTCCTCAGAATCGTGTTTATTACCGGTGTTGAGCTCAGCAACAGTCTTCTCCATTTAACAAGCGCTTTCACGCTCTTGCAGTTTTACGCTCGCCCACACGCCAGTCAATACTATAGCTGGCGCTTTTTTAAGCGCTTGCCAAAAAATTTCAAGCATGTTTTTAAATTGCAACAAATCTTTTTTCTTAATCAAATTCTAGTTAAAGAGGTACAAAAAACAGATATTTTTAAAAATTGTGCATGCTAGACAAATAATTACTGTCTGACTAGTGCTTTTTAATGCGCTGGCAGTAAAAAAGGATTTACTACAAACAGCTAAAACCCCAACTTCACCCAAATTTGTAAAATGAAAGACATTAAGATTTAAAATTTGTCAAAGTATTGAATACCAATAAATAACACTTGAACTTTTTTTTAAATATAACACTGTCAATATGACACCTGAGTTAAGTAAATATCAAGCAAAAAAATTAAACCAATTTAATTCCCTAACTAGCAGCCTCATAACATCATCACCACATAACCAATGTGTATTTAGTAATATTTACAATCATAAAAATCAATAAGATTTACAGCAATATTAAAACATATTTTGTTGAAAAATATTTACTGAGGAATTAAAGATTGTGTTTTATTAAGAGTAATCCATCCATTCATAGTCGAGGTAAACCTCCCAATTATCAAAATATAACCAGATGAAAGAGTGTCTGTCAAACTGGATTTGCCAAAGATTCCATTTACAATGCCAGGATGGACAGCCTATTGAGAATATTTACAATAAATCAAAGAAAACTAAATAGAAACAATAAAATGAATACAAAAAACATTAAATTAATCAACCTCTGCTAAAGATTCAGTAATATCTTGAAGAAACTCTAACATTAGTTTTTCACCCTCTGGTTGCTAGAAGAAAAAAAATTATTATATTATTGCATTTTGTTTTATATTAATTAGTATATTTGTTACCAAAACAATAATTTACAAACGCACCAAATAAAAACTTACTAATTTGTATAGAAAACAACTATTAACTATTAATACTTATCACATGGTTAATTTTTTTACTGTATTTACTTTGATAAGGAAGAGAATACCACTATATACCAAGAGAATACCACTATATACCAAGGAATAATACTATATACCAAGAGAATACCACTATATACCAAGAGAATACCACTATATACTAAGGAATAACACTATATACCAAGAGAATACCACTATATACCAAGAGAATACCACTATATACCAAGAGAATACCATTATATAATAAGAGAATACCATTATATGCCAAGGAATACCACTACAATCAATGAGACTGCCTTTTTATATATAATCTTTTTTTTTTAACAGTTTTTATCCAGTGATAAAGCTCTGTTGTTATGGCTTTATCATTTTTCTTATAAATAGAATTCATAAAAAAGCTCTTTATATTGTCTACAAAAGGTTTTATTTACCTCTAGATAAATTGTTAAGTTTTGGTAATAGTCCATGGATCGACTTAAAAAATTTGCATATACTTATGATGAATGTTGTGAAATCAATTAGTTATATAAACCCAGAATTTGTGAGAAATCTATTTACTATAAAAAAAATCTTCAACTTCGTTGCAAGAAAAAAATGATTCTACCTTCAAATGGCTCTAAATATAGAAACACATGTTGTACTTTATATAGATTCATCTCATTATGAAATTCTTTAGATGACAAGACCAATTCACTTAAAGTCCTAAGGTGTTCAAAAATATATCAAGTATTGGTATTCAAAAAATAGTTTGTAAATTTGTCCTTTTCAACTTTTTTAAATTATTTTTTAGTTGTTTATTTTCCTGTAATAAAAACTGTAAAAATGTAATTTAAAATTAAATTTTTTTTGTTGGTATTTATGAGTGTGTACTGTCTATAATGTTAAATGCGTTGATTTATGCAAGTGTGTACTGTCTTTAATGTTAAATGTGTTGATTTATGCAAGTGTGTACTGTCTTTAATTTTAAATGTGTTGGTTTATCCGAGTGTGTACTGTAATTAAATCAACACATTAAAAAAAATATACACATTTAACTAAATTAGTTAAAAGTGTTGATTTAAATTACATTTATTTATGTTAAAACATATTGTATTTATCAACAGAAAATAAAAATTTTAAATGAAATTAGATTTATTTATGTTAAAACATATTGTATTTATCAACAGAAAATAAAAATTTTAAATGAAATTAGATTTATTTATGTTAAAACATATTGTATTTATCAACAGAAAATAAAAATTTTAAATGAAATTAAAGTAAATTATGTGGAACAAATGACATAAGAAAAAATAAAGAGTTATGAAAAAATAAAAGATTTTAATACAAATAAATAATTAAAAAACAATTAAATTTTTCCCATAATACTCCAGTAAACATCTTTAATAACTTTAAATATGAAATATAATGTTGCTGTTTTTTTTAATCCAAAAAATAAGCCTTTGAGTTTATAGCCTTTATGTTTGAGTTGCTTTGCATGATTTTAATTTCAAACTTGTAGATTCCAAGGTTTGCTCTTGGTGTCTACAAGTTTGAAATTCGGCTAAATTAAGCAAAATTTAAAACCAGTAAGTATATTTTTTTGGGTGTGTCAACATAAGAAATTAAGAATGTGTTGAATCAAAAAACATTGTGTGTGTTGAAAAGTAATGATGTAGATGTGTGTATCAGCAATAAAAAAAGTCATGATTGTTATAAAAGCAAAAAAAGACAGTATGAAAACTAGAACGTGTTGAAATAAAAAACTAGGAGTGTGTTGAGTGTGCAGGAGTGTGTGACATGAGAAAGCTGAAATTAAAATGCATGAGATTAGAGATGTGATTGGACTGATGATGCTAAAATAATTACAATGATTATGATGATCACCTCATAAAAAAAAATAATTTATATATTTTACATTTAAATCTTCGTTGCATAAGAATTTCATCAAAATTTTAAAATTACATGGTAGTAAACCCTGAAATAAATAGAACCAAAGGAAGAGCAGCAGGTTCTAGTAAATGTTCTAGTAAACAATATTTATTGCTAAACATAATAAAATGACACAGCAGCTCATAGAATTGTAAGTTTAAAATAAGCATTTTTTGATAAATACAACTTTCAGATTATGTGAATGCAGTTTATGGTAATAGTACAATAGTGCATTTTAAAAAAAAGCATGCAAATTTCATCAGCTATAATGCATTTTGGGTCTAAAGCCATTTAGAAGTTGATGGCTTTAGACCCAAAACATATACCACAGTATATTCATTCAAATAAAAATTATTATATCAAAAAATTAAGTTCACATATGTAACATTACAATAACAAAATAACAGACACAAATTATAAAAATCAAATTTCCTGTTTTTATCACTCACAAAATAAAATAATCTCACTTGGTGGATTTAAATGATTTTGAATATTTTATTACGGCCAGGGTCAGTTCATTATATTTCAACCAATTTGTAGAAAAATTTATGGGTCACTGTCGAGATAAATTGAACTTAAAACTTCAGATTTCCAAGTGCAACCACCTAGAAATTATAGCCTTATAAACATAACACAGTGGCCCCTCTAAACTTATGAATGGTAAAAAAAGTTTATTTTAAACTTTTTTTTTTACTTTCAACAAGTGTCCCATTTTTTCTATAACTATTTTCTGGATAGTTCTGGCCTGAAAAAGTGCTTTTTATTAACTTATTTCATATTAGAGAAAAATTATAAACTCCTCAATTTTGAAAAAAAAAAAACGAAAATTGCTAAAAAATGTCAAAATGAAGTTACCTGTAGTATTTTTCTATTTATCCACAAGACTTTACAGGTAAGTTTACTGATTAGCTACTATTGTCTGCAACAAAATATTAGCAGCTTGTTGCAGTTTAGAACTCAAATATTTCTGAGTTCTAAACTGCAAAAGTTTAGAACTCAGAAATATTTGAGTTCTAAACTGCAAAAGTTTAGAACTCAGAAATATTTGAGTTCTAAACTGCAAGTTTAGAACTCAAATATTTAACTCAAAATTATACAAAGTATAATTTTTATTCGCCTAAAAAGTACAATTTTCATTCCATTTTGAGATGCTTGCAAATTTTTCAAATATTTAGAATTGATCTTGGATTAACAGCATATAAGAGTTGAGCCCAGCTATTTAAAAATCTAATCATTTAAAACTTATGCTCACACTAAATTTTTAAATATAAATAAAATCATTGGAAATTAGTGCCCCTCAAACCTCATGGCCCATGTGAGGGAGAACCAATTATAAGTCATTTTTTTAACAAAAAGATATGGTTAGTTGCCCCCTCCTTGATCTGGTCTTTATAGTGGATAGGGCACAAATAAAGGGGCAGTAACTACACAAAGACCTGCATTATTGTTCAACGATAACTTTTTTTAAAGATAATTTACTTAATTAAGGAGTATCATATCTCTAAGTCAAAAATGTTTATCTTCTAAAATTAATGCTGAACAATTTTTTTAAAAGACTTCCATTATAATTATATATAATTAAAGAGTCCCAAAAATAATATTAAAAATTAAATAAAGATTCTTAAAGCAAGAGATCAAAACTGGTTACAAACAACTTTTTTTATTAAGTTTGGTTTTTAGTTTTAAATCGATAATTAGTTGATAATTAAAAACAATTAATATATGATCTTTTTTAAATGAGATATAAATAAAAACCTCATTTTGAGCTTAGGCTCATATAAGGTGGTAAAAATGTCACTAACTACATATCAATGGATATCTGGTGCATACTTGAAATAATTGCCAGAATTTTGTAAACAAATGATATAAACAGAATCACATTTAAGAATATATTATTTTTCGAGAAAAAGATAACCAATTAGCCATATTTTTCCAGCATGTGAAATATGTCATATTTACTGCTCACTGATGATACATACCCTTTTAAACAGCATGATTGAGAAGATTCCAATCATGCTGTTTCCATTTACAACAGGAACATTCTCAAATCATTTAGCAAATTGTGTATAAGCAGCTGTTTCAATTTTAGAGAAATCTAAGAATTAATCTCAAAATAAATCAGCTCAAAAAAAATAATAACTTAAAAAACTTTTTAGTAAGATCTTGTTTTAGCAGTTATTATTTTATAGTAACTTTTTGTTATTTGATAGCAAAAATTTCAAAATTTGTTTTAACAAGCTTAGTTGTTTTGAAAAATTGATTTTTTATAAAAAAAAAAAAAAATTAGCCATTTTAATTATTTTTAATTAAAAGTATAATTTGATATAGGATACAAATATAAATAAATAAAAGATAAAACACACATACATTTAGACAATAAAATTATATATATTGTAAAATCACTTAAGTTGGGTCACTTAAGCTTTAAAAATTTATTTATCACACATAACTAAATAAATTCCAATTTTTTTCCTGGAACATACAGAAAATTACATTGATAAATGATATGGTAAAAATAAAAACTAATACTCAAGATTTAATTTAAAATGAAAACTTTGACCGAACTTTCAATACCATCTCATAAGTTCGGCTATAATACTAATACTATAAAATACTTATAACGTATCACAAACTTAACGCCACAAATAATGAAAACTAATTTTTAAATGTTATTTTATTGTAAAATTATAATATAAATTCAGATAATACCAGTAACTAAGAAGGGTTACTGGTATTATCTGAATGCCCCTCCTTATGATCAAAAAAAAGTATTTTGGGGCACCAAAAAAAAAAACAAGAATAAGCACATAAAAAAATGTATTTTTAAAATAAGTAGTATTACTTTCATTGTAATTAGTCAACTATTTTATTATTTTGGCCTATATCACATTTGCTACACCAATGGTTAATAAAATGAAAAATATATTTTTAATTAATTTTAAAAAGGTTTTTTCTGTTAACAAAATACACTACTTAAACTGTAAATGAGCTTTGTTTATTGGCAATTATTGCATGTATTGTTGACCATAGTAGAACAGCAAGATCCACACAACCAATCGTCACAGGATTAACATTACATCCATAATTGTTGTTGAGCTGTAATTTTATCTCCAAAAAAAAAAAAAACACTTTAGATATTTTTTGAACTCAAAGAACCATCAGTTAATTTTGAAATTATAAACAAATTTTTTATTCAAATAAAATACCATGTTGTGTATCCAATATAAAAATGTAAAAATTTACTGGTAAATTTACAGGTAAAATTACCTGCAAATTTTACATTCGCAACACTTATCAACATTCACAATATTACTGCTAATTGTCTCCTTCGCTGTTTATCCGTGAGTGACCGAAGATAGAGTATTTAAAAATTTCACTAATTTTTATAATAAAAGTAGTAAATTTTCAAAAATTAAATTTTTTTTTAATTTAATTAATTTGGTGATTCTTAATAATACTAAGATTAAATTTTATGATTTATTTTAATAATTTTCTTATTTTAGATTTTAATAGTATGTATTTTTTCAAATTGTTGTTTTGCTAAAGAATTATTTAAGCAGGTTGCATATAAACATTATTATTTAAGCAGGTTGCATATAAACATTATTTTTTCAGCAGGTTACATATAAATATATTTATGAACTAATTACAAATATTATTTGAGAAAAATAATTTGTAAAATTTGAGTTTTGCATGCTTTTTTTTTAAATGACTGAAGTTAAATGGTGACCAAACTTAGGCAATTTTAGGATACCTGATTTATTTACAATTTTTTTTAGCAACTAAAAACATGTCCTTTGATGTCAAAATTTGATTTGTTTAAATAGCCAAATATGGTTTGGTTAAAATTCTTTAATGAGAATTTTTCAAGTATTGCAGATTAAAAAATTTAGTCATTTTCATACTGGCTGCCCGCACCATCATTGAAATAATGAATCTTTTGATCTTGTGGATATTCTTCTTTAAGAAAAGGTATGGTTTTTAAAACATAAAGACTGTTTCAGTGGTTGTAATCAGATAACACAATAACATTTACTTTCTAGGGAAAGGTTTTCTTTTAAAGACCTCACATATATATAATAAATGATGAAAAGTTACCTGACTGAACTTCATCCTGCATGACAAATTAAAAATTTTCAGCAAAATCCATTTGTATAATACATTCTTTTACTATAAGGTTTTCACTGAGCTGCTTTAAAAATGTCTATTATCTTAAAGATATGTCTGGTATTTGTTAATTTAACGATGTTTTGTGAGTTCATGATAAGTTTTTTTTTAACTCTTCTGAGACATCAGGGTTTTTAACTATATCAGTTTTCAACCATTTATTATAAGTTATTTCACCAGCTGAATCCTATACCTGGTTATTTTTCTTTTGTTACCTGAACTTTTTACTCCTACTTGTTAATTGATTGCTAAACATAACAAATTAAAAATGTTTGCATTTCTAGATAGGTCTAGTGGACTTATATGCTGTTAATCTAAGATCAATACAAAAATGTTTGAAAAATTTACAAGCACATCAAAATGATTGAAAATTAGACTTTTTAGACGAATGGACAATACACTTTTAGATATATTTGAGTTTTAAACTGCAACAAGCTGCTAATATTTTGCACGTTTATTGCAGACAATTGCTTGAAATATAATAAACTGACACTTCGTTATTTAGTATTTATACTCATTAACAGAGGCTATTCTAGGAAAATAATTTAGGCCAATGCAAGGATGCATCGATGGAAATATTGCTAAATAAAGGCATTTTTCCTCAATAAAGAAAACAATATTTGCCAATAAAAAAAAAAAATTATTAATTTTCGTAATCCATAAGTTCTCCATAAGTAATCCATAAGTTCTAATAAATTTTATAGATATATAGAAATGTTGGAGATATAAAGAACAAAAGTTGGAGATATATATAAAAAATCTATATAACAAATCTATATAAAAAATTTTGGATTTATATAGAACTCTAAACATGCTTAAAATTTAAAAAAACACCATTTAGGATTGTGAGCTATCAAGGCCATTAGGTGAAAAAAGTTAAAAACTCAATCTTTTAAAGTAGTAATAGTAGTAGTAGTAGTAGTAGTAGTAGTAGTAGTAGTAGTAGTAGTAGTAGTAGTAGTAGTAATAGTAGTAGTGGTAGTAGTAGTAGTAGTAGTGGTAGTAGTAGTAGTAGTAGTAGTAGTAGTAGTAGCAGTAGCAGTAGTAGTAGTAGTAGTAGTAGTAGTAGTAGTAGTAGTAGTAGTAGTAGTAGAAGTAGAAGTAGTAGTAGTAGTAGTAGTAGTAGTAGTAGTAGTAGTAGTAGTAATAGTAGTAGTAGTAGTAGCAGTAGCAGTAGTAGTAGTAGTAGTAGTAGTAGTAGTAGTAGTAGTAGTAGTAGTAGTAGTAGTAGTAGTAGTAGTAGTAGTAGTAGTAGTAGTAGTAGCAAAATTCTATAGTTAAAATATATACTAAACTTTTATGGTTAATAAAAAAAACACTTGAATTAAAATAAATACTTCTGATGGCTGCATAAGAAAATCAGTAAGTTGTAACGCAACATCTGTATATTTTTGGTTTTCTGGATCTTGCTTTATCATACAATACAATTTCTTATCAGGCTTGTAGAACATGAATAGTTTTCTTATAAACCTAAATAAAAGTATCATCATCATCATCATCATCATCATCATCATCATCATCATCATCATCATCATCATCATCATCATCATCATCATCATCATCATCATCATCATCATCATCATCATCATCATCATCAACATCATCATTGTCTTCTTTATCATCATCATCAACATCATCATCAACATCATCATCATCATTTTCATTAACATCAACATTGTCATCACTATTACCTTAGGTAAAGAGGTTCATCAGGCTTTTTGATGGTCATTTTAGAAGACTAAAACCATGAATAAAAGTAAAGTATAAAATTACAAGAATTTATTATGCAGCTTCACACAATGCTAAATTCATAAATATATATATTATATCCACATAAATATTATATCTAGATAATGCCTAATCTAAAAACAAGTTTAAAAGTTTGCAACATCAAAAATCAAATTTGGCTCAAAATTATATAAGATAGCAAAAAATTAAAAAAGAATGTGGACAAATAGAAATGAATCAAAAAATTAAATAAAAAAGAAGTGGACAAATAGACATGAATCAAAAAATTAAAAAAGAATGTGGATAAATAAATATGAAACAAAAAATTTAAAAACTTATCTTATAAAATATATCTTATATAATAAAATAAATCTTTTTTTTCTTTATAATTTTCTTTGTTTATCATTATTTTTTGTTGCTATTAAGTACTTTTTAGAATATCATTAGTAATGTCTACTTGGACCTAACACAAGTTATAAATTCCTCTAAACTTCTGCATATTTCATGTGGGTCCATACACAACAAGAAAACATAACTTGATCACTTTTTTCACAATGAAAATGAATTATTGTACATTAAAAAAATGTTTAAACTTAAGAAAAATGAAAAAGGCTAAAATAAATTTTTAACACATGTATAAAAAATACAACAATTTTTGACACGTTTCTTACATCTAACAGTGCACTTATTAGATTCCAATTCCATTGTTCAAATTCTTCTTCAGGTAATGTTGTCACTTGAGTATCACGAATGGCTGTTAAGACATCATCTGTATCCTATAGAATACCTTTTTATAAAAATTAATCCTATTCGAGAACCAATACATTATTTATTATATAATAAATAATTAAAAATATATATATATATACATACATATATATATATATATATATATATATATATATATATATATATATATATATATATATATATATATATATACATATATATATATATATATATATATATATATATATATATATATATATATATATATATATATATATACATATATAGATAGATAGATATAGATAGATAGATAGATATAGATATAGTATAACATAAAAACTAGCATATTACCAAAATCAAATAAAATTTAAGAACTTGCTACTGGAAAAAACAAGATTTTTTAATAGAAGGTATACCTTAATTTAATTTCGAAATTTCTGCTTCCAAAAGTGTGCACAATTTTAATTTTATTATTATATCTATTCATTTTAATTCCATATGTGTGCATGATTCAAATTCCATTTTTGTTTCCATTAATTTTAATTTCAAATTTATGCGTGATTGACGAAAGTTTTTTTTAACATCAATTTAATTAATAAAGTTATCAAAAAATAAAAGTTTTATTAAATTACAAAATTTTCTAAGCGTCCGTTTAATTAATGAAGTCTTCCATATTTATATTATTTTTAATTTATACTGTGTTACCATTTTAAAGTATTGTTTTATAATTTAAAGTACTTAGATTCATTAATTTTTAAAAGCCGTAGATAAGTTTTAATATAAAAAAATTAAATTGAAACATGTTTTTAACTTAATTTTAGGTTCATCAATGTATTAAATATTTTAGTTATACTATTATTATATTATTCATTTTTAAGTGTTTGATGAGTACTTAAAAAGTATTCAATTGCGTTTTTTCTATTCAATCTCGGGATTTCCCAGGGACAAATTTCTTAATCCCAAAATCCTGGGATTGAAAATTTCAAGAATTTTTGCCATCCCTAATTATTTATTTTGTTTGTATACAGTAGGACGGATCATAACTTCAAAAATTTACTGAATCTATTGCTGCAACCATTTTTTTCTACTACTTTGCTATACTTTGCGTTTTTGTCTTTACAAATTTACTTAAAAATGCCATTTTGTAACATATCATTTTATTGAATATTTAGGACATCATTTATTTATTGAACAATTAATACTATTAGAAAAACAAATATGTTAATAATGCATGATTTTTATATTGTCAATTAATAACAGTTACAATATTTTAGTTAAATCTGTTTGGATTCAGACTTAGTATCAAAGTGCGGCATTAAATTTCCTGTGCATGTAGAATTCTTTTCAGAGCAATTCTACGAATTACTTGACGGTTGTCTTTCAACACAGCAAGAATAATGCTCTCAATATGAGCTGGATAGCTATTGCTCTTCAAATCTTGCTAAACCACAATTCTGTACTGCACAGGAAGAAATCGTGATGTTTCTATCATTTTGTAATAGTGTGGTGCAGCATTCCAACAGTTTGAATATTTTTTTACATCAAAACATACAACTGCATAAGAATTCACAATGAATTTAGCCAATAGTGTAATTTCATTTGATGGAGCTACAGTAGATATATATAGGTGCAAAACACGATTTGCAAGTGTCAACCACCTTGCATGGTTTAGCTGACAAGGCAATCTGGATTCATATCCCTGTGATGCAATCCCTGTCTTCACTGCATTAACAATTTTAAAAAAGTACAACTGATCAGTGCTTAATAAATCTTTATCACAATCAATAGGGTCACCAGCAATAACAGCAAAGTTGACTATGGGTTGCTGCAATAGATTTGCCAATAGGTCCATTAAATGGATGTGATCCAGTTGTTGCATCATCTAAGGAACTAAATAGATGTCGCAAAGGAAGCTCATTCAGATGTAAGAGACAAATGGACCAGTGAAGTGGTTGACCAAGTTCAATTTCCATTCTGCGTATAACTCCATTATTCAAACCAGTGTTAACGTTTGTTGAATCTGAATCAATACAAACAAGATAAGTACAGTTTACTGTATCAAAAATTGATTCTGCAATGGATTTAGCTGTACCAATTACTGGAGAAGAATGGTCAATGTATCTTGATCCTGGCTCTGATAATAGAGAAATATGTTCTTCAGAAACTACTGTCTGCCAATCACCAACAAGTTTTAAAGACTGATCTTTTCTGCCATCAAAATACAAACTAGAAATCTTGCAATCAGTATTTTTATATGCTGATCTCAGAAGTTTTCTTTCTCTTCGAATTTTATTGCGATCAACTGGTCCCATATGTTCTAAACCGAAATCAACAAGAGTTGCTGATACTAATGCAGAAACTGTACGATCTGAAATGCCAAACCCATCTGCTTGTAATGTAATATTTCTAAGGCAATGTTTTTTGAGGCGAGAAGTTTTGGGTATTTCATCTGATGTATCATCTGATGCACAAGGGAAATAAGTATCAGAATCATTAGTGGTTTGAACTGTATCATTATCTGAATCTGATGCTTCAGCTACTCTGACACATTTGTTAATGATTTCATTTGTTGATCTTAACACTGATTTCCTTTTTAGATGCCTTTCAGCAAGTACAGAATTCTTCTTATCAACACCAGCTATTCGACCAATAAGTACAGTGCGCTGATCTGTAAGAAAATTATGATCAATTGCTGCTACCTTCATATTAAGAGGGCAGCAGCAAGATTAAATTTTTTTGCATTTACATGAACAAATATCAAACAGTTTATTAAGATTAATTTCTATTTCTTCTTTTTTGAGTGTTGCAGATTTTGCATTCGTTGTTCACATGACAGCTACATGACGGTCACTTGTATGTGTTCTATGGCCTGTATATTTGTTTCATCCTTTGTCGCTCCTTTGTCGATCTAATCGCTAATTGGTCATTTGATTATTCATCTGTGTTTAGCAATGTTGCATCAGCTAGATGGCGTGACGATGGACAATGGTCATGGCCCAGTGAACATTTAGTATACAGTTTGGATTTTGCACATATCGTACGCTGTGTGTTTGGCTTGCAGACATATCTGCTGTTCGTTAGTTTGAATATATAGTTTGAGATTGACTTGTAATAGAATAATAAAACAATTTCAGTTATTAATTAATCTAAAGGATATAGATTATTGCACTTACTATTATTTACAAATCCATACAAAATACACATAAACTAAATATTAGTCCCACAATACAGACATAATTATGTGTAAATTGAAAACTAGTAAACATTTTTTACAGTTATACAACTACATAATTAGACAATAATAGGCATATACCTAAAAACTTAAAAACGTATAATCAAATTTTATTTAAGTTTTTCTTTGCTAATAGTAAACAATGCTATATCATGTCACTTTTCCCAAATTCTCAAAGCAACTTAACTTTTATGATCCGGTCTAGTATACAGCCAAGTAGCGTTTATTTGTACACACACAAGTAGTTAATATAAGTTAATAAAGGGGGGTTGGGTTCTACTATAAAGCTTTTCAAGTAATCAAATTAGAAAGTAAACAATTTAAGTAAACATACTCGTGAAGATATTTGATACTCAAGTGTCTTGGTTTTTGTACTGTTCTTAAACTGAGCAACAATTTCACGCATGAACAAACTATTAGATTGAGGTTTTAGCATCTTCATTTGGTGCAACTGATGGAGATAACCTACAGCTGCACTTGCTTTTCTAAATAAAAAAAACTTTACTAATAAAACAAAATTAAAAGAACTTAATTATTAAAATCAACAAAAAAGTAAAAACCCTCTCTCTTCTGGAGACTTTTCATTATTAGCAGCGAGTGCTGCCATAAGTGAAGGAAGACAGTTGGAATGGCTAGAGAATGAAGGTGGCATCAATATATTAGCCTAAAGAAATTATGTTAATATTATAATAATATATTATGTAATAATATATATATATATATATATATTATATATATATTTGTATTTATATAAATATGTATATATATTTATATAAATATTTATATAAATATATATATATATATTTATATATATATATATATATATATATATATATATATATATATATATATATATATATATATATATATATATATATATATATATATATATCCAGATAAGTGAAAGACCTGAAAAGAAGATATTTTACAGGAGATTTTTCCAATATGTGAGTAATAAGAAATGATAAAAATATGCATTCAATATTGGCAGACAGAGGGATACCAATTGTGTCTTAAATTAAGAAAGTATGGTGCAGTGCCATTTTTTGTATATAAACCACAAGTTATTCCACCCAGCTAAAATTTATTCCACCCAGCCAAAAGCTAAAAGTATTGCAAAGTCTTTTCAATTTTAATTTATATGAAGTTACATTTGTTTATTTTTAAATACTTCATCCAATATCTTAAAAGTAGATGGATTTTTAACAATCTGACATGTATTAGTTTTTGAAGGTGAGAATATAATTTTATTTTTTTTAAACAAAATAAATCTCTAAAATATTCTTTGAGAGAAGAATTTAAATTTACATGTTTGTTTGATAAAAAATTATATGTTATATTATTTTTTTCAATTTTATTTTTTTGAAAAAAATTTTTTTTTCAAAAAAATAAAATACCTTACCATATAAAGATAGCACCTTACCATATAAAGTAACTCTCCGAGAAGAATACATCCTCTTATACAAATATAATCATCGCTTGTTGTAACTACACTAACTAAACTCTAAATGAGAAATATTCATAACCAACAAATAATTATACTCCAAAAAATGGTTAAAGTTTTTAATTGATTAAATTAAACAAAAAATTATAATCTTTATTATTTTTTATTTTTTTATTCAATTTAAACTTACATCAAAAGATGTACTTACATCTAAAATTCCAGCATCAAAAAATGTGTGCAACATTAAAGACAAATAGCTTTCAATCAGATTCACTCTAAACAAAAAAGTTCATTTAATAACTAAATAAAGTTAAAACCATAAGAAATAACTGAAAAAATATGTTTGTAACATCAGATATAATGTATAATTAATGAATATAATTAACTATAACCTTATTCTGAAAAAATTTAAATATCTAACTAATGTTTATATCTAAACTTAACTGAAAAATTGAAAAAAAAAGTTTTAAAAAAAAAAACCTAAAAAAAATTTAAATAAAAATTAAAAAATAAAACCTTTTTTGTTTTGCTAGATGAGGTAAAATGACTTCAGCCTCAGCTACAACAAAATCTTCAGTCAGACTCCATGAGTCTTGAGGACTGGAAGGGT